TTTAGACCATCTCTGAACTATTTCAATGCTCAGTGCCTTGTGAGGGCATCACATACAGCTACTTTGATAGATGAGGGATAGTTTAGAAAAAAATCTAGCAATTCTTATAATCAGTGCCTATTTTTCCGAATAGTAATATTTATAAAAGTTCTGACATCACTTCAGAGTTTTTGAAGCCTTTGTTGTTGCACTACAAGGAGTGGTTGGAGGGTCATCCATAAACATATAATTTCATATGTGAGATTTTCTTTGAGGGAGCAGTTCTGACGTTTTGGACTTAATCGGAAACACGAGCTTTCATGTAGTATTACGACGTTGAGTGGGGAGTAAAGTCGCGATTGTAACACGTAAACAGGCATTTATCCTACGTACTAACCGACTATAATGGAGCATAGATCGGTAGTAGGTAAATTGTTCTTAGAAAAGGCCTAATAACCTGGTAGCTTGGTCTACATGAGTGGATGAACAAGCAAGTTGGGTACTGATTGAATTCTGTCGAATAATGGGATTTACTTGATTCAATAAGAAAATGTTGAAGGTTTATTTACATAATGCGGAAGTTCAGAATGTTTTTTGTGGGTCGGGTCGATATTCTAAGACTTGGCACTTTCTCTGGGTCTCCCAAATGCTGCCTTGAAACTTTTTTTAGCCCGAATTCAATTAGCCAGGAAATTATCGTTCAGTGGTGAAGCTGCTGGGGTTTCTCACCTTTATAGGTTTTTGAAATTTTGTAATTAGCAAGTTATAGGATAATTGCCAGGAGGAAGTAGAGAAGTCTGGTCTACTCTTTTAAAGTTTTTTTTTTGATTTTTTGATGGTTTTAGGTCGATCAAGTGGCAGTGTTCTATACGGGTGATCTGGTCACCTCCCTACAGAAGACGTCCCTGGTCCCTGGGGCTAATGAATGCGTGATCTACACAACAATTGGTGGAGCCATTGGAATACTGGTACCGTTCATCTCGAAAGATGTAAGTAATGGAGATTGTTCAGAATTTTTTCCTCATTCCTCACGTCAACTTATTCATCCTTGGAAACATTTAGCTAAATTCTAGGGAACTAGTGAAGGAAATTGGGTCAGCAAGTGGCTAAAAACTTGTTGAAATGCAAATTTCCTAACGTTCTCTGGGAAATGTTTGCTATTTCCTAGAAATTTGCATTGGTTGAGTTGAGATTGTGCCGCTTATAAGATTGCTAGCGTTCCTCTTGAACGCCACACAACGCCTTCTCGCCCGAGGACTCAAAGAACGACCCCGTGCCTTTGAGATTTCTTGAGATGGAAATCAAAAATTCAATTAGGTAAAGGTCGTTGAGATTCTTGTGATTGAAATGAGTAGAGGAAATACGCGGTGTGGAGTATGGGTAAAAGGCCTTGTTGAATTCTTCTAGGAAGGTATGAATCCTATGGAAAGCTGCGTAGTGAAGGGTGTAATGGGAAGGACTCAAAGGTTCATTCCAGTGTTGGTTTCTAGAGGTGCGAAGCCAAAAGGTAGGGTATACTGTAGGTAACAAGCCGAGATGAGGGAGGTGTGAAATCGAATACACGGAGTGTAGGGGAGTTTATTCATTTTTGAGAGGTAATGAGCATCGTGCCAATTATAGAGTAAATGCTTAGAGCGAAGATGAGGTATTAATAGATGTCGCCGCTGAAACTCGTCCGGTCCAAAGGTCGACATAAGATTATGATGATCGATGAAGGCTGAATCCCGTTAATGCTCATTCCTATTTGGGAGTTAATATGATACCTTCGTGTACCGGCTGGTACTGCAGCTCCCTCCGTAGGTTTAATAGACGTTCAGGGGCCATTTAATTTAGCCCTGAAGGAAAACCAGGTTGGTAAAATGTCGTAGAGGACCATGATCCATGCGGACCATTCCATCGCTTTGAAGAGGAGAGCTTTTGCAATTATTTTCTAGGTTGATGCTGTGCTAGAAATGTCAAATGTAATTGTTAGGAGGTAATTAAAGGGAGGCTTTTTCTGCAACGTTACGCATTCGGCCAAATGACAGCCAGCCATTTCATGCCCTGGTAGGCGATAAAGAAAGGGAACGAATGAAGGCATCGCAAATGAGCGCTTTTTTCAGTCGGCATATTGAAAACTCCCATTCGGAGGCCAGTCGATGTCATCGCATAGAATTTCGTCACGCAATGTGCTGAAAATGGATTTGAAAATTCTGGATTTAACGGAATAGGGTATAGGAGTTAGGCTGTAGGGGTTAGCTCAGTACTTCAGCGCCTGAGGGTTGTACACTCTTGAAAAAGAAATTTAGATCCATTCTTCGCGTGAGCTCTTACAAAAAGCGGTCTTTTAGAAATTCCTCTCCAAACTAAGAGTTACTTGGAAGTTTAGATCCTTTCAACCATCCCTTTTATCTGCCTGATGTGAGATTGTGAGGATACTTATGACGCCATGAATGGCCAATAGCAGCAGGATGAAATCTAGGGTAGAAACTGGGACTGGGGGTCGTTTATGCGAACTGAATGTGCTCTGTGATTTTCGGTCATTCTAAACCCACTATAAGCGCAATAATAGATATTATATGAATAAAAAGTGGGCATAGCTAATGGCTGATGCTAAATTTTATTCTGGATTGCTAAGAAGACAAAATTTCTATTTTCAGTACTATTTTTTTGATCATTTTTCGGCTTGACTCCCAGCTCTAGTGCTCTTTGGCCGTTCTGTCGAAGGGAAATTCATAACACGACTGATGAATGATGGTTTTCTTTGTCTAATACCCAGTAGACGATGGTTAAAGACCGACTGAGTGCTGAAAGTGGTCAGGATTTACCCGGTCGCTAAATTTACACGAGTGGGAATCGCCTAAGGAGCCAGCGAACGTATTTATGGACTTTTGTCAGGGGGTAATTTAGTTCGAAAAGTTTTTGATGTGTGAGTTCTGAACTCAAAATAGTCTTTGGAATGTGATGCGGACGAAAGTAAATGGTAGTATCATTTTAGTTGCTTGGCAACGCCATTGCTATCATAAAGAGAAGAAGGTAGTCCAATTCCTCGAATAGCTTTCGATCTAAGCTATTGTTAGATTAGAGGATTTAGTAGAGTGTTACCATTATAGCTATGCTAATCTAGGTGTAGGGAGAACGTATAAACAAGGGCTATCGATTGGACTGCGTTACATGTGTTTAGGTAGGGGTTGGGAAGCAAGAAGTTCCCAGGCGACGTGTTCTAGTTCGGTGACTATTAGTTGAGAAAGTTAGTACTTCCCTTACTGCGACTGATTTATAGGAAAAGTTCTATGGTCCCAAGTGAACGGCTTCAGGTCCTCTCCCGAATCCTCTCCGGTGACGTGAAAAGAACGTAGGCCAAAGGTTAGCAGAAATTAGGCAAGGGTTCCGACGGTAATGCTAACGGATCGTTTTCTGTGGCCGCTTCGGTGTTGAATAAATGCGCTTTTGATATCTCTGTTATTGCCAATGACTGCTAAAAGCATGGCGCGATCATCTTCTCAACAACTGCGTTCATTGAAATTTGGTTACATGACTTTGCAAGATTTTTGCAGCAGGATGAACTAATTTGTCATTTGGGTTGAGCTGAAGTGGCCTACCGTACGGCTCATGTCATGGCGCTTGTCATAAACAGAAACGAATTTCATGCGACCTGTTAGAACTTCCTTATTCGGTTATCTAAGTCATTTTCTGCATGGATTGAGACCAAATGCTGATGGCTCGGTTGATCGTTGATGAGTGTCGACGCATGAATAATTCCCTGTGTCTATCGCTAACAGACCGGGACATTTTTATGATTGAATGGGTGCTTCGAATTCTGATGCCATGGCATCACCAGTAGGTGTTATGTTCTTTGAGGGAAAAAAGGGCTTCCGAACAAGTGCAGCTTGCGGGGGAGTTGGCGCTAGGCCATAATTGAAATTGGTGCGGGACTTTTCAACGAGAGGCATTTGCACGGTGAAGTGGAAAGCGAAGAGGAAAGGGGAAGGGCAGGAATTTTCTACCAGGATAGTTCCATTTGCGACCTAACAGAGGTGTACTGAGGAATCGTGCTCTGCAGAAAGGAGTCTAGGCCAAAGTACGAGTAATGAGGGGAAGGCACGTTCGGATCCGCTTACCTTTGCCACTCCATTAATAGTAATGAGTAATCAGCTTCCCTTAACAATTCCCTACGTAGCCGATTACCCATTGCTATCAAAGCAAAGTGCTGAGGGTATGCAGTGCCGCCAGTTCCATCGGTCAGGGGAACGATGTTTGGTCGCTGCTTAGTGATAGGCTGTTTTTGGGTTGATTTTTTTTGCTGACTTACAGTAGCTGTTAGGAAAAATGTTCAGAACATTAGCATGGCTCAGGAAACAGCTCCTCGATCCCCTGATAGTGTTTGGTTTCCTGGACACGAAACGACTTCGCTGTTTGTGTCTCACTTACCCTTTCCGCTTTCGGTGGAGGATACCACTGTGATTTCCTCCGGAAGTCTAAGCTTGCCTGTTCAAGCGACAGCGATAACGTTCCACCTATCTAGGGTCGGTTATTCCATTGTGGAGATGTAAGCTATTAAACATACATCAATCAAACCCACGCTATTTGACTGCGTCATTGATTCATAATGAGTGACGCAGTAGCGTGGGCCCATCATAAACGCCTAGTCAACGTGGTGGTTGATCATTCGAGCTAGTGGTCCTATGCCCGGTTGGAAATGGGGGTCGTTTATCCCTCTGCAGAACAATTGTCATTTTTTCACTTCCAGTGGAGTAAGAGAACTTTTTGGGTTGGTTTTGAGCTAGGTATAGTAAACGGAAGCATAGATCACTCATGCACATCCCTCTAGTTCGAATACATGGGAATAAAAATGTAGAGTACGTCTAAGGATATGGATGGCAACTTATTTTTGCTGGGTAATCAACCAGTTCTGGCTTAGAATCTGTCATTTTCATGGAAAAATTTATGTCTCCCGGGGACCCGTCAAGGAATTTGAATCCTTGTTCGATCAATAGGCCTAACGAAAGCGACATTGACGTATGAATGACATTGGAAAGGGCATCGGAAAAGAAAAACAAGTGTGATTAGTCGTGTCTTCTACCAAATCCCTCCTAATAGCGCTTGTCGACCAGGAGATGAACAAAATGAGCCACGACCAAGACTGTGGGGAGTTGCAAATAAGTTTAAGAGCAGAGGCGTAATCAAGTAATTTGCCGAGGAAGTATTTTGGTTGAGCTAACAGGATTATACGGTGACGTGGAGGAAATGATAACTGAGTGGGGCTATGCAAACTAATTGGATGTGATATGACTGTCTGGAGAATCGGAAAGGCTTATAATTGCCACTTAGGGTGCATTTTGGAGTGGAAAGTCATTTTTACTCGTTGAAGGAATATTAGAACGTCTCTGCTTCCAGCTGGTTACGGTCTGGGTGACATTTGAGGAGGAGAAGCGCTCGCGCGGATGAGCGGCGATGTATATCTCACTATAAACGCTAAGGCGTTTCATGTGGGTATGGGTTAAGTCGTGGGGACGTGAGAAAACAACCTAACATTGTGTTTTTTTTTTTAATTTTTACTCTTTTCCATGCTGGAAAATAGGCTCAGGTCCGGTACATTTGGATATTCCATGGATGTTATATTTTTAGCTTACCTTACCATTACGAAGGAGCTAGGGATAATTGAATTTATTCGAGAAGACCGTCAGTTTCCCAGTAACTGCTCTCAGCTGATGGAATTGCACTAGGGGTTTTTCTTAGGTAAAGTACATGTTTACGGGGATGAATTGCGTATTTCAAGCCCTGTTCCCCAGGGAACGGTTCTGCTCCAACGTCGGTTTTATCTAGAGCCCCTACTTAACTAATCAACCAGTAAGGGGGGATCTGTTAAGGGTCTTTGGCAGATGAAAATCAAAATGAAATTAAAGGTCAATGAAAATATTCAGGGTAATTACCTTACTGAGTGCGGAGGGTTGTATAAGGTGTGGCTGGAATGGCTGGAAAGCCTGTGGTAATCGAATGATGCTTTTTTATGAGTTTTTTTGGGATCCGATGAAAATTAATGAATTGCCGGGGTATTGAATAAGCTGTAGGTAATTAGATTTTTCAACGAATA